AGCATTTTTTTTTTTTTTTGATAAGGTTGGGGGGGTTTTCAGTGAGGCTGCCAGAAGTGCAGAGCTTGTGCTTTTTTGCAGAGCCTGTCCAAAATCACAGTTTCTGTGAAAACTGCAATTTCAGTAGGTCCCTTCACATAAAGGAATGCACACCAAAAAGCAGAATGTAGGATAACAACATATGGATCACTAAATTAGCCAAGGGGAAAAAAAGGCCTTTGAAATGGAATGTTCCATTAGTTCAAGAGAATGTTCCATGAGCAGATGAAGCACAAACTTTCTTCTCAGAATTAGAGTTTGGATGATCAGTTGTTCAAGCAGTCCAATTGGCAATCAATGTCTAAAACACTTCCTGAATATTAAGCTGGAAGGTTTCAATTTTGCAAACAGAATGTGCCCCCAAAAGTCATGCAAATAAAGATCTGTTGCAACACTCAACCACAAACTAGAACAGACTATTTTGTTTCTTTTTGATTATTAAATAATGACAAGAAATGTTACATCTCACGGCTATGGCTTTATGATACTACAATTCAAGCCATTCATTGAAACAGTCTCTATCTGTGGGAGGCCTAGTTTTATATAGGGGACACTCAAACTGTTGTTTTGTGTCATCAGCAGGGATCCGGGTTTTCCATTTCCCATGGGAAAATGGAGAAAACCACGGATTCCCTGTTTTTATCGGAGAAAACGTGGATTTCTTTTTTTTTTTTTTTTTTAGCAGAGAAATCCACAGATTCTTTGCTTTTGCAAAGAGCTCTTGAAGGCTGGCAAAGCTCCAGCTTGCAAGAGCCAATTGCAAAAAGGACAGGAAGCCCCCAGCCCTGGCCGGACGGGGAGGGAGAGCAGGGAGGGTGGGGCCTGGGCCTCTGAGGCAGCCAAGGTTAGGCTTAGGCTCGGACTCGACCTTCACCCCTGGAGCATAGAGCTAAGTGGGGCTTGGGACAGGTCTGGGGAAGATGGTTGGGCTGAGGGTGTTGCCAGCCCCAAGCGGCACATCGCAGCTGGGAGCAGGGCCAGGGGGTGAGGGCAGGGGTGAGGGCAGGGATGCCCCTCTGTGGGGGAGCTTTGCAGGCAAGCAATGCGGGGTACAGTGTGGTGGTGGTGCCACCCAGCCGCCTGCCCAGGGGAGGGGGAGAGGGAGGCTGGCATGCGGCCAGAGAACAGCTCCGTGGCCAACTCTGCAGCTGCAGAGAGGGATGGGGGCGTGAGGGGGGGACAGGAGCTTGGGCTCACACACGGCACTGCTGCTTACCTGGAGGCCCGTGACAGTGGTGACAGCCACTGCCTACAAAACCTCCCGCTGCTGCCACAGAGCTGTTCCTGGAGCTTTGCACCCAGCCATTCCCATCCCCACCACCGCTGCATGCAAGCACCTTGTTTCACCCTCCAGCTAGGCAGCACGTATGTGGCCTATACATGGTGGTTGCCACTGCACTGCCACTGCCGTGCCCTGCACCACTTGCCCACAAAATCTTGCAGGTGGCTGTGGGATGGTAGCACAGGGTAGAGCTGTTCCTGGAGCTGTGCACCCAGCCATACCCATCCCCACCACCGCTGCATGCAAGCACCTTGTTTCACCCTCCAGCTAGGCAGCACGTATGTGGCCTATACATGGTGGTTGCCACTGCACTGCCACTGCCGTGCCCTGCACCACTTGCCCACAAAATCTTGCAGGTGGCTGTGGGATGGTAGCACAGGGTGCCGTAGCAGAGTTGTGGTGGCGGCCTCCATGTGCAAACCTCCTGTCAGGCCGGCCAGCATGCTTCTTGATCTACCTCCAGCACCTTCCCTTTCCCCCACCCTGCCCCACCCACACTTACGTGCCGGGATGGGTCTGTGTCTGCATGGCTGTGGATCTGGGGGGCTGTTGCAAGGGGCATCAGGAGGGCTGTTGAGATTGTAGGGGGGAGTGCGGGGGCACCAGCAGTACTGGTTGTGGGGGGCCTTTAATTTTTATCACAGATTTTGGGTTTTTAAATCGGAGAATTTGCAATTCTTAATCAGAGAAAACCAGGATCCCTTGTCCTCAGTAAGATCTCAAGCCTGCATTCATATGACAGCTGCAAGGTTAAGCCCATAGGCTGTTTAAAAAATAATAATGAAACTCTGCTTGTTTTCATAAAACAAGCATCCTCAAATTGTTTCTTCCATTTTGCTCCCTCAAAAAAAAAAAATGGTGGTGTTTTAGAGGAGGGGGTGAAACACCACCATTTTGCTTTCAAAGGGCTGGGAAATCAAAAGCTGCCCAAGTTTTTTTTTATAATGAAGAAAGCTTGGCTTGAAACTTCCTGAAAACAGAACCATTTTTGAATGGACAAGAGGCAAAGGGACAACAGTATTGAGGGACAGCGCAGCATCCTGCCACGTGTCAGAGCTTACTTATAAAACAGAGGAGTGCTGGAAAGGTTGCAAAAATATATAAATAGAACAACATGGTTTATAATCATCTGCCCAAGGAACTAGTTCCACAGATCCTGAGGAATCAGCTACCCAGGCTGGGAACACAGCTGAGGTAACTGACCATTCCCATTTAACTATCACGTCTGTGCTTGCTGACTCACCTCTCTCTGCTGGAGAGAGAAGTTGCTATAGAGTCTTTCTTTCTAACTAGGCTTCACTTTCTATTTCTATCACTTCTGCAGATAATGGTGTGGTTGGCACCTAAAATAGAAGGTAGAAAAGAATGAAGTAGGGTCAATAGGAAAAGGTGGTAACAAGGGAAGAGCTTGAGGATACCTCTGCCATGCTGACTGCAGCTGCAGAGAAGTGATCCAGCTTAGAGACTGCATCATCCCTGAGTGTGCCATCTTACAGAGCACCGTAAACCACATCATCTTGTTACTGATTACATATTCCCAGACACCTGAGGACTGATCAGCCCATCATATTGGCTTCCCCGGGATTTGAATGCACTCCGCCAACAGGCTAATTGGGCCCCTGCTGTATTCCCATTCCCAAGAAAATGTCAGCACTGTCACTGTTTTAGGATAAAGCATAACAGCATATGCACTACCTCTAAGACTTAAATCTCTCTCCCTCCTTCCTTCAAAAATTATCTGACAAGGGGATCTTTGCTCCTCCAAGCAATAGCATTAACATAAAGGAATGGAACCAGAGAAGACTTAAAAAGGAAAATAAATTTCTAGATAATAACAGCTCTTTAGAAGATGATTGCAGTAGCATAATTTGGGTTTTGTATATTTCAGCAAAGGACCGTGTCCAGCTGCTCTCATCATCGTAAGCTGCTTAATGTATTAATATGTATTTTTCAGCTCTAACATCTGGCTTATCTCCAAACCATATCAGAAGCATATCATAAAGATTTTCCAGACTCCAAGTTCTTCCCTGTATACTGATGTTTAGATGCTAAAAAATTCCCCTTAGAGAGAATAGGCCCTTCCAGCCTTGCCTTTTACACAGTACAAAGCATTGCAACAGAAGGGAGAGCCCAGCATACCTCCATATGCCTGCATTTGTTACCAAATGCCTCACATGTCCATCTCTGGAAACTGAAGGACAAAGAGGTAATACCCATCATGTGGGCAGAACCTAACTCACATTTTTTCCCTGGTAGTTCTCTTCTTGTTTATAGAAGCAGTGACCTTTCCTACCAACCTGGTCACAACCCTCAGCTTGAGCTCAGTTTAGAGAGCCACTACCAGTAGCTCTGTCCTCCCTCAGGAAACTTGGGGCAGCTGCGGCAGGACCCGGCTCACTGATGAGCCGGGCCCTGTGGGGGTAAGCAGCTCCCCTCCCCTCACTGCTGGCTGGGGCCCATGGGCCGGCCCTGCCCGCCTCACTGCTGCCCCACCACCGCTGCCCCACCGCTGCAGCTCTGCCAGCACTGCTGCAGCTCTGCCAGCACTGCTGCTGCCGCCGTGGCTCCTCACTCTGCCGCCGTGGCTCCACCAGTGCTGCTGCTGCAGCTCTGCCCCCCGCCACTGTGGCTGTGTGCTCCGCAGCGGTGCCGGCGCCGCCGCGGGCCAGATAAAATGGCTTGGCAGGCCACATGGCAGCCCGCAGGCCGTATGTTGGACAAGCCTGCCCTAGGGTCTTCCAAAGTACCCCCTGGTTGAGAGCCCCTGGTCTACAAGATGCCTTCTGCCTGATTTCAGGCTAATGCAGCTAACTACCTTGCTATGCAAAATGGGTGAGAACTTCTTTCCTGATCCTCTATTCATTCTTTTTTTCCTTGGAGTGATTTTTTTCTTTGTATTGCCAATATGATTCCTGTTAGGAAAATGAATGATAGAGCCTCCAAGCTTTTCAGTGCGTTAAACCTTTGAGGCCCGTTCACGCTACATTTTGGGAATGCACAGGTCATGCGAGATCAAGATCCCTTCCCTCATTTTCTCCACTCATATACTACCTTTAAAGCCACCTCCCTCCCGCCATGGTTGGCCGAGTCTCCTCCAAGGAAGACCCAGCAGTTCACTCAGTGCTACTCCCTGGTCATCCAGAGGAAGAAACTGGAAGGTGATGCAAGGTGTTTCTCCTCTCCTTCCCCTTTTCCCAGTTGCAGAGCTGGACCCATTCTTCCCCTTTAACAATACTAATGTGTAGTCTATGGAGAAAGATGAGGACAGAGAAATGTGGGGAAAAAAGGGAGAGATAGTGTAATAGGCAGGGAGGCTGTAAGAGATGGGTTCTGGGGGAGAAAAAGAAACAAGAGAGGTGAAGGGAATAAAAAGAAAGACTAAGGAGTAACAGGAAATGTTTGATCAGAGAAGGACACCACTGAGGAATAAAAGGCAGTAGAAGTTTGGTAATGGTGAAAAGAAGCAGGCTGCTGGAAAGAGCTGGAAGGATGGGTAGAGAGGTGGAAGGCCGAGATGAGGGCATAATCATGGCTTCCTGACCCCAACACAAATGAGAGAGAAGTGGAAATCACCACAGCCAGTAGAGTGATAGAGGAAAATCAGAGGTAGTTTGGGAATGTGAAATAGTGTCTTGAGTACACAATGCTCAGGTCACATGCAAGAAGGTCACAAACTGTACAAGTTAACAAAATATGCCTGTTGCACTGCTGATCTTCCTGCAGACAAAGAGCTAAAATAAATATTACAACAAAGCACTTTTTATTAAGATCACAATAGTTACATGGCCTAGCACCGCACTGATCCTACACTTCAGACACTACCTTTAACAGTAACATCGAAGGAGGAGGACAAAACACATAGATTGTTACTTTTGGAGCTTCTTTGTGATGAATAAATACAATCTGCAAAGTTGACTTATTTGAGTTTTATGTTTTCTGCTTGCTTTTCACCTCATGAACAGCATCAAGCCATATCTTCCTTGGGTTTTCTGGGGGCCTGCGTGAGATGGAGAGAGTTGTAGTAGGAACTTTCTATATCCTTAAATTAAGGGGAGAGAAGGGGAAACACTGCTGAATATTTAACAGAGAGGTCTTTTCCCCCCAGCTGTTTGTTCAGGTGTTGGAGTCAAGTAAGTAACAACAAAAGAATGCAAACTCCTCAGCTCACATACAGGAGTGTTACTCTTGAAATTAATAGAGCTAACTGACTTGTGTCAGCTGAGGATCTAGCCCAGAGAAATCTCTTCCCCCTTTGAGTTGCTCAAACTATACTTGTGATGTTACCATCTCACTAGATCTGCAATCATCCGTAGAATCTGCTAGAATGAAGGAGAGGGCACCTGGAACCTGATTCTCTGCTGTAAAACAGAAGCACAGAAAAACCAACTAGCCTCTTTAAGCCTTCTGTAGAGGTTGACCCTCTTAGATGATCTTGAAGAGGACAATACAACAACCTCCTCTCGACACTTCTCCTCCAGAGTATTCATTCTTATGCCCAAAAGGCCTCTAACAGAGATTCTCTTTCTTTTCCTGTTTGTTTTTCTGTCTGCAGGTCCAAACACTTATGAAGATGCGGCAGCATATATCCAAGCACAATTTGAAAGCAAAAACCGCTCCCCCAACAAGGAGATCTACTGTCATATGACTTGCGCGACAGACACGAACAACATCCAGGTGGTATTCGACGCTGTCACTGACATCATTATTGCCAACAATCTCCGAGGCTGCGGCTTGTACTGATACCTTCTCACCCTGTATAGCAAAGCAACTTCTTTGGTAATGATCACAGTGTGAGGGGGAAAAAAGCAAAACAAAACAAAAACCGAATCAAGTGAGAAAAAAAACATAATAATAATAATGCAAGTTGGTATATAAAAAGGCATAATGAAAACATATATATATATATATATACATATATATATAAAAAAAATCCACAACAACCTTTTTAGTTTGTCTCAAAGAGCTGTGAGCAGAACTGATTTCTCTGACAGATCTCAGCCCTTCCTAGCAAAGCTGCTAGTAATAGAAATCAAATCAATTCAATCAGCCAAGAAAACCAATGCTGTCATTTTCTAAATGGTCTACCCTCATATTCAGCCTAATATAGACCATGGATTTTAAAAGAATCTCTTTCTTAAAACAAATAGTGGTGATGTTATTTTTTTTAACTCTCCTTTGTGTGTTGGGGTTGTGGGAAGGAAAAATTTTCTTTCTTTCCTTCTTTCTTTCTCTCTCTCTTCTCTTTCTTTTTTGTATATGTTTTGGGGGTGTTTTTTGGGGTAGGGTTTTTTTGGGTACTACCATAGGAAACTGTAGGTCATCTGGTGCCACCATGAGTACAGGGTTCAGTGGGGTGAGCTATCAGTACCTCAGTTCTGTTCAGTTCTTGTGGGTTTAAAAGGCAAACAAACAAAAACAACAATGTAAAAATAAAATTAAAAAAAAAGACAACAAGAAAAACAATAAACAAGTAAGCCACAATATTTTAGGACTTTTTTTAACAAGACGGAGCAGGAAAGCACCCTTATGTAAAAGCTTTTCACTTGTGGAATGTAACTTTGTCCCGAGTTAAAGCACAGGATGGAGAGCTTCAGGCTTTTTTACCAGCGTGGAGTCTGTGAGAAAGAGGAGGGCCCCTAGTAGCTCATGCACACACACATGCATGCACATGCACACGCGCACACACATGCACACGCACACACAAGATGGGGGGTGGGAAATGTATTTGCCAGTCCAATTTCAGTGCCAACCTCACTATTAGGGCTTTGGGCAGGGGAGGGGAGTTACAAACATTTTTTTAAACAAAGTCAATCACATTGACCATTTTGATGCTGTTTTACTCAGTAGTGAGGAACACCCCTATTATTTATTTGATTTTTTTTTAAAGCATTCAAGCCTGGGCTCCCTTCTCTCTCTCTCTCTCTCTCTCTCTCTCTCTCTCCAGACCACTTCACGGACTCTCCTGTTGACGTTCTCCTTACCGGTAGCATGACCTTTTGGCCTTTGTATAAGACACAGCCTTCCTTATTGAGTCGATGTATAATGTTCTGAACATGGAATGGTGGCTGTGTGTTTCTGTAGAATGCTGTAGATCTGGTTTTAGCTGAGTCTTTACATTTAGAAGCTAAATGATTAAAAAAAGAAGAAAAACATTTAAAAAAAAACCTTTTTTTTCCATGTGCTTTGTAGCTAAAAAAGAGGGAAAAATTCTTCCTTTCCCATTCTCCCTTCCCCCATTTCTTTTTAAAAACAGATTTTTTGCAACGGTTCTAGGAAGCATTCTCTTCTCAATTCCTCATTTTAATGGGGATCAATTTACATTTGTTTTCATTTAAGTTCCTTTTCAATTGATATTTGTGCCCTGCCTTTAAAAACTAAAAAATAAAGGTTTTTATTAGCCTGGAGTAATAAGACCATGCTGTAGTACCATGACAGTGGGTCAGGTATCTAGAAGGGGCTGTCTTTCTGCTTTTGTTTTTCCTAGTTTAATTACAACTCTTTGCTCTGAATTGTCTCTCTCATTCTCCAGGTTTGTATTGAAAAAAGCACAGCTGTCACTGGCCAGTCAATAGTGGCCAAATTATCTAGAGATTTCCCCCCTTTCAACTTTTTTTTTCTCTGAAGAATACTGTGTATTACATACCATATAGGCTTCCTCTTCTTTATTTATTTTGGGGGTTGATTTGTGGGCTTTGGGGAGGATAGTTTTGTTTGGGGTATTTTTTGTTTTGTTTTTTTTAATTTTTAACTCTTTCCAGTGAATGCTTTTTGTGCTGCTTTTTCCCTCCTCCGATCCTTCCTTTTAGTGAATGTTTTTTCTCTCTCATGTGGGGATGTTTGTGCTGCAAAAATAATTTAAAAAACAACAAAAAAAAAAAAACCAAAAAAGAAAGAAAGAAAATGATTTAAAAAATTTTAAAAAACACACACAAAAACCACAAAAACTATAAAAAAACATAATCGAATGTAGTGTTTACATTGAAGCCACAGATTTCATGACCAATCCTTCATCATTTCTACTTTGATTAGTAATCAGATGTCTTCACAGTTTCACTTTTAAGAGTTACCTTTGCTGAAGAAAACCAGTCACACCTGTTTAAAATAAAATGAATAAATAAAGAGGAAACTAAAAAAAATATATATATATAAAGCGCCAGGTCTTTCTAAGCCTTTCTATTACCAATCAGTGAGGTTTCTGTGATATATTAGACACTGCCAATCTCTTTCTCTGACTAATGGAAAATTCATGTGTAGCTCAATAAAGAGAATGTTTGTCTGTACTCCTGGTCTCTCACCTTCTGGTTTTCAGACTACACTTATTTTTGAACTGTTCTTCCTTAAATAAGGAGAAAGCATACAAAGTGTTGCACCTGTTGGGTTTTTTGCCAAAATATAGCAAAGTACATTTAATTCCAGGTTTCTGGAAAAGTTCAACTCCTATTTCAGCACCACAGCAAGTGGCCAAATTTTCGGTATTCAGTATATTTATTGAATGTTTCCTGGATGCTAAGTGCTTTTGGACTTTAATTGTGGATGCCAAACAGTTAAAAATCTAACCTCTATATTTTGGGAGATTGGGAATAGGGGGGCTTTTTTTTCAAGTAAATAATTTCTAGTGTAGGATCCCATTTGGCAGATTTTCACATATAGACACACCACTGTACCAGCACAGGGTACCACTGACTTCCATGTGGTTCTATACTGGCATGGAACCGTTCCTACATGCACAACCTGCAGGATTAATGCTCATATCAGAAGTGACTGGATGTTGTCATCCCCTGATGGCTGCTGGTGATCTATGCAACATGAATTTGGTGGTTTCCATCAAATGGATGTATCACATGAAATGCCACCCGCAGTAAGGGCCATGTTGTTGACATTCTTAAATAGAGACTCCAAGGATAGACTGCCCAATGGAATCTGAGCTGCTTTCTGGCCCTCCAGTGCAGGTTTCAGACATAGGTGCAGGAAAATGGAGGGAAGAAGCTTCTGCTGTCAGTGCTTTTGCTGCACTGGTGTGGTGGATAAAGAAAGAGCATCAGCTTTGAAGTCTGTCACTTGAGAGCTTTTCTGCACCACTGAATGTGATTAAAATACTTAAATTGCCAGTAAAATGGGAAAAGAATACCTACAGCTTCTTTCTGGAGTGTTCTGGAATGCAAGAATGAAAAAGTTCCTATGGAAGATAGGTATGAACTAGCACTATTTAATGGAAACAGCTACTGAAAGATCAGAAAAATAATTACAGAATCAGGACTCTTCCAGGAAACCGGCTGCAGGTGAGAAGGCCACAATCCACAAAACACATTCCCAGCTGTTTAAGTATCTGGAAAGTACTCACCTGCTTAGATACATGGTTATGTGTTTGCAGGACCAAGCCTAAATATCTAATCCCACTGAATCCTATGTTCCTACTGTAGATTTCCACTAACAGTGGTCTTCACAGCCAACCATAATGCGGATATTCATCTATTAGGGCCTGCATTACGACTCCCAGTTTACTTCACATAGCATGAACTACCAAACAGCCATCACAGGGCTTACTATGGTGTCCAGCTTGGAAAATATTGAAACTGGTGATAGAAAGGTACAAAGTCAAAAAGTGAGCTAGTTTCAGTCCATTCAGCTATCTACCTGCACGCACATCAAATAAGATGTAAAACCTATATTTCTCCCTAGCCCACTGGAACCATGTCATGTTCTGAAGCTCCCTCTTGCCATAATTAATACCTCAAACTGCATCAAAGTCAGAAAAGAGAGTCCTGAGATGTTTATTAGCCCCACCTCCCTCTTCAAAGGAAATAAAAGTCCAAACTACATATGTGGTTGTAATGTGCAAAATGCAGTTGATTCAGCAGAAGAATAGCTAAAAGACATAAAATATTTAGGACAAGAAATACTGGGGGGAAATATCCACTATAAAACAGAAATGAAAACTGCAATAACAAAGATGTTCCTATATTTAACTTTCAGTGGCACAGAC